AATCACCTGTCCCGCAGGTTTGTTGTCAGGATTAAATGATATGATGTACCCAAAGCACAGAGCATGTAGAATTAGGTCGTTTTCATCATGCCCATATTGATTTTCTTCATCTTCTATCGACAGCTACTGATTACTTTTCAGAAAGGAGCATGATGTATTTGAAGCATACAAGGAACATAGATGGCACAGTGTAGAACCATATCTGCACCCGCTCTTGAGCTTCACGAGTTACAGATGAAGTTCTAGTCCTTTGTCTAGGCCAATATTTCTTGCCCTTCATTTCCTCAGTAGAGGGAACCATGTTCCTAAACTTTACTTTTTGGTCATTTTCAGCAGTATTTTCATACTATTTCATTCTATGCCAAAGAAACAAGTGCTCCAGAGGCATTTTTCCTTGAATGGAGCCATAGAGATCCTGCGTGGATGAGGGAAAATGCCTTCATGCAGTTAAATGAGAACTACAGTAGTTCATTGCTGAAACGCATGCACTCTTTCCTTTTAATATGAGAATAGCAATTCTGGACGACTATCAGAAACAACTGGCTCACCTCAAATGATATACTCTTGCGGTATTTAAGAAGTTTCTATTTCAATGCTGTATGCTAAAATGCTACTGACTCCATTTGCATATGTCAGAAAGTTAATTTTATATACAGTAGTAGAGGTTACTTCCAATAGTCTGCTTTACAGTTTGTCACACACTTGATTGGAAGTTTCTCAACTCTTTTGCGAATTAGAACCCTATGCTTGAAATTGGATTGGTGACTTTTTGAGAAATATGTGATACTCACTGAGAAGATGAAAGGCTCGCTGGAGTCCCCATAGAACTGAATTTTTATCTTGCTGGCTTATTTGCATGTAAGGGACGAAAATTAAAATAAATGGAGTTTTCCTCATGTGTTTTTAATGTAACTCAGCTATTTTCCTGGGAATCTTGTTGTGATTTGCACTGGCACATTAGCGACAGCACAGAGTGAAATGAAATTCAGTGACAATTCCCAACAAAATCACTAGATGAAGATTGCTGCTGAAATAGGGACACTGCTGGTTTTCTATTCTTTCGCAGCTGAAGCTATGTTCGGGTGAAATACTTCCATGTAGTCACTAGGTGGCAGTATGTAATCAGAAATGCTCATGACAAATTGGCCATGAGATGGCATCCAGTCTTAAAATTGTATGATTGCATGCAGGTGCCTTGTTAAAAATACACTAATGCATTGCCTGAATTTGGATATGTAGTCAGACCCCCAACTTGATGTGTTTCCATATTTACATATATTTGAATGGCTGCCCCAGCCTTTTGTTGTCCCCTGAGTGAAGTCTTTTGGGATTTCCCCTCTCTCTCCCCCACTGGCTTCCTACCACAGCTCCTATCTCTTTTTGGGAGTAGCTTCTCTTTTACAAAGACAACCACGTGCCTTCTGCGGCTTTTGTGTAGTGTCCACATTTTTCACTAGGGAATGGGCCTGAGAGAGCTGGGAGAGGAGGACAGAATTAGTGCTAAGCAGATATGGACCTTGCTTCACCATTGCAGTAACTCAACACCTCTGCATGCTTTTCCTCCTGTTGGTTTTATTCCCTCTCTCTCTCTCTTTTTTTTTTCTATCTTCGCTGCCAGCAAATATAGATTCTGAGAAAACCCCAGAGGCTGTTTATTTGCTAGAAGCCAGGGCCTCTCAGCTTCTCTTGCCTCACCTCCATTTTCTAGGCCACAGCAACTCCCATGAAAGGCTAGTCGGAGAGTAAAGGAGGCAGGAGGAATCTCTGACCTTCTGCTAGGTAAAGCCATGATCGTTCCAGTTAGAGGGATGAAATCCTGGCATTCGAAGCAACATGAATGGAACTGGAAAAATTATGTTATATTGAATAAGCCGAACACAGAATGACAACAACCATGGGATCTGTCTTATATGTGAAATCCCCTAAAGGTGATCACATAGGAGTGGGAAGTATAGTCCTGCTCACGGGAGACTGGGGATGGCAGAAAGGAGAGGTCCGGACACAGGTTACCAACACAGGCAGGGGGAAGTGCTACTGATGTTATATAGTACAATGCCATAACCATAGACTGCGACAGTGTGCGTTTCACAAGGACTGCAAAGTGGGTAGGTTTCCATCATCTAGATATGATATTTGAGGAGCTAGAAACGTTCCTTATGCTGACTTGATCATTACACATTGTATATATGTATCTAATTACAGCCCTGTCCCCTATAAAGTACAATTACCATGTGTCAAAAATTAGAAAGCCATACAAAGATTCCACAGAAATCCTGATGTATGGGATGTTAAAACTTTGAGTGTTATGATAATGCACAGGTTTTTTTTTTTCCATCTTTCTAGCCCAATCCAGAACACACTAGAACCCTGTTCATTCTATGAGAAAAATGTACTTTGAATTTCAAGCATTTATATGATGAGAATGGCTTCTGTTGACTCCCCTCACACACGCTGCCAAGGTTAAGATTGAAAAGCACTCTTAACCAGCTGCCACCTCCAGAGATTTATTAGCCACTTTTTTTATAAGCTACGTTTTTAAGGCACAGATCATTCTTTAGCTTAACAGTATACATTACACATATATATGTATATATGTGCATCTATACCTATTTCTGTGTGACCATAATAATTTTCATATAAAATTTATTTATCTGAGTTACAAGTATCTTTTAGGATCTGTGTCTCATAAATAAGCAGTAGCTTTATAACATATTTTTTTTGTCGCAATTGTAAAAATTTCTTCACATAATCGAAGTTTTTTAACCCAACATTGTTGATTTATAGTAATTTTTTTTTTAAAAAATGTAAGTAACATTTAGCAGGCCTAGAAGCTGGAAGAATGTCATGGAAAGCAATAAATAGCCATTAGCATTTGCTTTTAATTGCTGTAACTCTTGCATCAATTAGAATGGTGAGGATGCAGGCAGTCATTTAGTTACAGAAAGTGAAGCTTGTTTACCAAATCGAAAAGAAATTAGGAAACTGCCTCTTCCTTCAAATTGCATTTCTACTCAAACACACTCTCTAAATCCAAGTTATTTTCTTAATTATAAATGTTTATGTGTGATGAATTGTAAAACCTTTTTATGCACTTTAGACTCTTAGTTGACAATTAAACATCAGTTGAATTTCCATTAAGTTGGTAATCACAAATGCTGAGTTGGTTTTCAACATGTAATTTTAGCAAGATGTTCACTAGAATTGGAATAATAATAAGAGTGAAGATAAAATGCATATTGACTCCTTAAAAGTTGAAAAACTACATTCCTGTAGAGACACAAGGTAGTGTCACGGACAGATCCCAGGCTTTGGCTTCAGCCCCACCCTGCCAAGTTTACTAGCTATTTGTTACTCACCCTGCATCTCATGCTTGTCTTCTGTAAAATGGAAATAATGCTTATGCTAAAATGTTCTGAACATTAAAGACGAGCAAATACACATAAAGATCTTAGTGTAAACCAATAGGCTTACAAACTCCACTATTTAGTCTTCATAATTTTATTAGACTGTAGGGGTTTTGTCTTTCGTTTACAATTGAGTCAGTTGAAGCTCAGGCAACTCACCCAGGGTCATCAACCCTGTTTTTATGATTCCAAGTCAAGGGCACTAGCTTTCCCTTCACTACTGCTGCATTAGGACTGTGGAGACTGATGAAATGGTCAGCAACAGTGGTTTGAGGTTGACCACTCAGACCAGACCTAGCTTCCCCAGAGGTAATCGTTTAGAGCCCTTGTATCTCACATGCGCTACTGCATGATTCATGGCTGCTGGCCCATTAGCTCAAACTCTCTCCTTGTGTTTGCTGCTCATCAAAGCCGAAGGCCAGAGAGTGCATTATTATTGACAAGGAGCACCTGTAATCCATTACCTCCCTAGCCCTCCTAGCACTGAAAGCAAATTTCTGTGAGCACACTTTGTTATCCATTGTTACTATAGTTTGGTCTATGAGGGGTAAGTAGATTTCTTTGCAGTAGGGCATTCCTCATGGAGTGAGGAGCACAGTTGGTGGGGCCACTGAGTTAAGACTTGATCTTATGGGCACTCGGAAATTCTTGAGTAGAGAAAGAATGGAACCAAAGCAGTGACCTGTACGATGGTTTGTGGACAGAGGAGCCTGGGAGCCAAGGCACCAGTTGGCTTAATGAAGTGAACCTCATCAGATGAGATGAAGGCCTGAACTTAGGCAGTGGCTTGGTTGGATAGAAGGAAATGAACAGATCCAAGGACCCTTTGGACTAGCTGCATATGCATAGTCAACTAAGGACTATCCGGGGAGAAAGACGAATCTTCAGACAAGGCTGTTAGTGAGTGTTTCTGCTCTAATTCTGTTGTGCTTAAGTGTATATGAAAATGATGCCAAAGCCCCCACATGAGAAGAAAGGAGGTAAATCTGCTGCCTCAGGGAAGTGTTCCTGTAACCCTGAGCACTGATTGCAGATCTTAGGCAAGTGACTGTGATTCCAATGAACTGTTGCCTGAACACAAGACTTGTTGTTAGAAGATTACGAGTGAGTGATAGGGAGAAGCTGGTGAGTTGCTGCCCTTTGACTCTGACCAGCTAATAGCAAGAGCATTTGAAATGACGAAGAAAACATATTTTTAACGTTAGTTCCAGCTTATCTGATAGATGGTATGCCCCAGGTCATTGGTTGCATACCTCTTTGAGGCTGGAGATTTTTGTTTTGTTCACTGCTGCATCCTCAGGAGAAAATAGCACTTCTCACTTAGTAGATGTTCAATCAGTAAGTGATGAATAAATGAATGACACCAGGGATGCCAAGTGTCTGCCTTACCACTGGAACCCTGGTGTTGGCCACTGGGCTGATTGTGCAAGAAGAAGTGAATAAAGGCTGAACAGAGCTGAATGTATTGAGCAGTCTCTGTGCTAGTGCAAACATGTTTTTGTTTGGTTTCACATTGTGCAAATAAGATATTTTTAGGTAAATTACATGGGCTGTTCTGCAGTTAACAAAATTATACTTTTTTTTTTTCTGGGTTAGTGATGAGCTGGAACAATTTATGGAAAATCAAGGTGCATCCAGCCCAGGCATCCTCATTTTAACCACAAGCCTCAGCAAGCCCTTCATGCGACTGGAAAAGTATGTTACTCTCTTGCAAGAGCTGGAGAGACATATGGAGGTAAGGGAAGGCAATGCTGGAGAATTCAGGAAGTACTTTGTTTTTAAGGCCATCTGAGATCCCTATTCTTTGCTACCAAGCATTCATGAGCTTCCTCCCTCTCTCCTCTCCCCTCCCAAGCCTCGGCCCTCAGTGTCTCTCGTGTCTGTGCTTACCTGTTGACTTGCATTATCTTTTGTCATCTCATCTGTAGCTGGCAATGCAGTCAAAACCACACAAGAAATCTGTTGTTGTGGGATATCAAACAACTTTCTTGTGGAAGATAAAGGCGAATGGGAATCAGAAAATACAGACAAAACGTTCACTCTAAACAGGGTTTGTCTCTAGAACACTCTGATCATCTAGCCTTCTGACTGAATTGGAACAGAAGATTCTGATAGTCCCTTAAAGACTAATAAATGGATTAATAAATGGATGCAGTATTAGAGTGTCTTGGCATGAGTCAGCACGTATACATCAAAGTCTGTTCACATTTTTGTTCATCAACTTGTAGTTTATTTGCAACAATTATAACATAAATCCTTTCTAAATATTAAACAATGAGGACTGATGCTTGAATTTTTAGCAAGAGTCCAAATTCTCTTCTTACTAAAAATCCATCAGCAGGGCCAGCTCCTTGAGCCCCTTCTTCTGCAGCCGTGAGTGGGAGGTTGGAGGTGCAGGTGGGAGCACAGATGTATTTACCCTAGTTGCTCTTCCTGTGTCTGGGGTAAGGTTTTGAGGTTTTGAAGGGCTTGATTATCTTTAAAGAATAATGTTGCATGCTGCTGGGCTTGTCAGTGTTTGTAAGGATTGAAAGCTTGTACTCAGAGGAAACCACATTCTCAGGGTCTTTGACTTGCGTGAAAGCTGGAGGCAGTGAGGAGCCGATGTGCAAAGGCTGTCAGAATGGAGTTTCAGTTATGGTTCGGGAAGGTGTTGACCTCTGGATGCCTTTCCATAAGGCAGACTCATTCACTGAACAGTTGGAGGCTTGCCCTTCCCTGCTTATCACAGGACTCCAGAATCAAGTGGCCTCACATTCTGGTACTTCTGAGGTACACATCCACAATTTGTGGAGGATAAGACCTATGAGTCTCCTGGAACTTGGCTCCTTTATCTTGCTCTTGTAATGGAGCCCTTTTCTACTCTGCGTCTATTTCCTGTGGGCCATATGGTTTTGACCACCTTGCATGTCCCACCATCAGGTAGCATGTACCTTTAATATGAGCATACCTCTGAGTAAGGCCATTTGACTAGATTTCGGACTAATGACAGATCACAACCAAAAATTCTCAGTGGTTGGCTGATTTGGGTAAGGATAAGTCTTACTGTAAAGGAATATAGCCCTACATTGTCATGAACAGCATTGTTGTTGGCATGGTTCATACTTCTGCACTACTATTGAGCTCTGTATTTTACCTCCCAAGTCTGGTTGAGTAGGGCGTTAGATTTTCCTTTTACCTCAGCTAAGGTCCAAGGGTTTAATACATGTGCTCCCAGGCTGAGTACATGTGTTCATGCCATATACTCCAATATTAGATATGAAATATAACCCGATTATATCACCCCAAATCCTTACTGAGTTGTTAAATATCAATTATCCAAAATGTAACAGTAAAAAGTAAAATGGGAATTCTTGTCTCAATAACCCCACCTATATAAAGTGTCACCACCCATCTAATTTCCTAATCACCTAATAATTATAGCTACTGATATTCCAAATGCTCAAATGTGGTTCTATTTTTTTAATCTCAAGTGCACATGAAGATTGACTTTTTTTTTTCTTTTTGTGCATAGTGTTTTACCACCACCACCACAATTGAGAATGGAACAGTTTCATCATTTCCCAAATTTTCTGCTATTCCTGTGGCCACACCTGCCCCATACCCTTCCCTCCCACCCACTGCTGCTCCATTCTTCCCTAATCCTGTTTTCAAATGTGTTCCTCTGCTAGGATACTCATCCAGACCATCAGGATATTTTGAAGGCAATCATAGCATTCAAAACTCTCATGGTAAGTACTGCTCTACATTTGTAATTTTCCGTTTTGTGTTCTTCATTCCTAAAAGAATGACTTGTGTGTGTCACTCCTTTCCTCATGCAAAGGTCTCTAAATGGAAACCATAAGCTTTCGTGATACTGCCACAGTGATTGTTTCATTTCATTCTCTCCTCCCTAAATCATGCTTACCTATGAAAGGTTGCCACGCTGAGGGTATAAAGTAAGCACATTTGAAGTCTTGGCCACATTAAGCACTGGTGTGGGTGGGGGGTTTCCTTTCGCGTTTTTTTTTTTCTTTACCCCTGCTGCTCACCTTATGTCTGTGTAACTCGTCATTCACTGATTGGCATCAATACTGGATTCAGCCAGTTATGCCAAAAGCTGAGAGTTTGTTCTTTGCGTATGCAAAAGAAATCTGTCATAAAATCTAAAAGAGAGAGAGAGAGAGAGAGAAAAAAAAACAACCCAACCACGAAAATGCAATTGCTTTATATAGGTTAGCAGTGAATGTACCTATAGTCTGGTTTAGTGAGCATGAAACGCTCATCTAAAACTGTGGGCTGCCATTTTAGAAGGAAAGAAAAAGTTATTTTGAGCGATTGATTAAGCTTAGGCATTTTAGACATTTCTGTAGTGTTCTACCTGTTTTGGATAAAATATGTTGTTCCTTACTGTAATGATAGGGTGTAACATCATCACTTCAATTTTATCTGTGTGGAAAGCTTAGAAACTGACATGGTTAAATAGCAAGCTGAACATAAGAGTAAAGAATTTTGTTAAAATTGTTATTGTTACAGGTCAAATGATGTCAAATATTGGCAGTTTTACATGGTTGAGCCTGTTAGAACAGCCCACTGAACCCTCTGTTATTGATTAACATGTCTTATTTTTCGTATATGAAAGGAAAGAAAATCACTTTCTTTCTGTTGCTTTCTTTTTTTATCATTTAAAAACTTTTATATAAAATCAGTAGATTTGTAATTTTCACAGTGTAGATTTAGGAGCATGAGTGTTCCTCCCTTCCCTCTGTGCCCTTTCCCTCCCTGTCTCCTCTTTACTATGTGTTTCCAATTATTACAATAGCATACTTGTTTGCTTCACCGTAACAAGATTAACTCTCTGATATATAAAGGTATCATGATGTAGCAAGCAGAGGAAAAAATAATAAAATTACATAAAATAAAAGTAAACTCAAACAACAATGGCAATTTTATTACTGAGGAATATAGATCCATGCTGTGTACAGCTGCTAATTCTCAGTGTGCTAATCTCACTTAGAGATTACTTTTGTGCTGTGTGTTATTAGTAGTCACAGATCAGAGAGAACATATGCTATTTCACTTTTTTGAGTGGCTTATTTCACTTTCTCGAAAGATTTATGTTCCTTTCTGATTACGTAAAACTTGCTTTATGGCAATACTGTATTTATTCCTGCTATAGGTGCTTCAAAAATATGCACCATGAATTTGTTTAATCTGCACTTAGTTAAAAGGGATAGCACAGATTGTATAGAAAACACACCACAAAAAACTGTTCCTTTTTATTCATTTTCAAGCAGTAGTATAACCATAACCGTATGCTTATTTTCATGCTCAATTTGGAATGAGTACTGTTAAATTACTCTGAGATAACCTTAAGTTTCTAAAGCAATGATTTAAACCTATGTAAACACACATATGTATGTACATATAAGTATGAATGTGTATTATTTATACCTCCCACAGTCTTGGTCAACTATCTTTCTTGGTTTTAATTTTCAGTTTGTCATCATGAAATTCAGGTGTATCATTTTCTGATCCTTTTAGGAATAAAAAAATTAGTTTAGTATTGCATCCATAGCAATTTACCTGGAGTTGCTAAACAAAATACAGGATAATGTACAGGCTTCATTAAGATCACTTTGATTCACCATGGCATAAAGAATGTCATTTCCTCCTTTTCTGTAGCTTGTGGAGTCAGTTTTTAGTTTCATTTTTCTCAATATATTACCTTGTTAGGAACAGAGCACATTAGCAAATCAGATTACTTTGTCATTAAAGCCCTCTACCTGCGAAGATAGACAGTGGAGAGGACCCAGAGCAAGGGCACAGCCACACTGCAGCTCCCACTTGTGCTCCTGGCTCTGCTTCACGTGACCCAGCTACTTGTCTTCCCAGACTGCTTACGGGAGGCAAAGACACCATGGTTGCATCAATTGACCTGGATGTTTCGGCAGAGCCCTGACCCAACACAACTCTAGAAGGTTCCAGGCTAGGGACCGAGAAGAGTGGATCTTTCTGTTAGGAACACCTTGGATCGTTAAATTCATGGCAAGAAACAGGGACCCAGCGAGGGGATGAGAAGCCAAAGCCCTATCTTTATGTGGCTTTGTTTTTGGCCTGTTTCATAAGAGCTCCTGTTTCATTAGATTTTGCTTTGGTTCTGTAGGGGCAGTGCCAAGATCTGAGAAAGAGAAAACAGCTGGAACTGCAGATACTTTCCGAGCCTATCCAAGCATGGGAAGGAGAGGATATTAAAACCTTGGGAAACGTGTTGTTCATGTCACAAGTCATGGTGCAATTTGGAATGTGTGAGGTAAGTAGCTCTAAATGTCAACACTGTTTCTTTTCTCTTCCATATTTTTGTTCCTTGAATTGTTTTTCCTATCAAGGTCGAATGTTCAAATGTTCCCATCAGAAACTGAGCACCTATTCTTCGCCCAGCATTCTACTATGTGCTGTTAGGGATAGGAGTAAAGAAAAAGGAAATGATGCCTGCTTTCAAATAGGTTCTTTAAAACACAAGTTGCCACCAATAAGCAAGATAATCACTCTGAGACTATACAGTGTCAACCAGAGGATATACAAATGTTCAGAGAAGGGAAAGATCAAGAAGACCTTAGGGACATAAAAGTTGAGGAAGGCCACAGAAAGCAAAGAGAAGAATTCCAGAAATTAGAGCACATTGTCATCTCAGAAGGGAACAGGAGGAGCAAATTTTTCCCTTTCTTTTTAGAATAGCGAGGATATCTGCCTGCTGGGAGTAGAGGAAGCATGTTAGCTATTGTGAAAGAAAGATTGAGTCAGGTAGAGTCAACATTATGAAGAAGCTTGGATGTCATGCAAGAATTCATATTTATGCAGGTAATAGGAAAATGAGAAAGATGATGAGAGACTATTTGAGACCCTTAGTTTACCAGCCTTATATATCATGTGAGTGAGAGGGAATGAAACTAGGAGCCAAAAGGCCAGCTGAGATGGGGAATGAGAAGTGTCCCCCAAGAAGGTGAAGTAATGAGAATGGGGTATAGAAAGAAAACTATGAGACACTTTTAGAGAGGCAGTCAACAGGAAGTGGTAACCCGAGGGCTAGAGGAGATGACTAATGTTAATTTTAGAGCTGCTACCTTTTAAAAAGATTTATTTTATCTTTATTGGACAAGCAGATTTACAGAGAGAAGGAGAGATAGAAAGATTACCCATCTGCTGGTTCACTTCCCAAGTGGCCACAGTGGCTAGAGCTCAGCCAATCTGAAGCCAGGAGCCAAGGGCTTCTTCCAGATCTCCCATGCAGGTGCAGGGGGCCACGGACTTGGACCATCCTCCACTGCTTTCCCAGGCCATAGGCAGGGAGCCGGATGGGAAGTGGAGCAGCTGGGACATGAAGTGGCGTCTATATGGGATCCTCACACTTGCAAGGGGAGGGTTTTAGCAAATTGAACCGTCGCACTAGGTCCTAGACCTGTTAACTTTCATGTGACTGTACATATTTAAGTAGAACTGTCCTGTATGCAGTTAAAACACTGTGGAAATGTGGGTGAATTGCCAGGGTTAGAGGCAGATGTTTTGAAGTTCTTGACAGAGGTGCCTTAACCAGGAAGTAAATTTCCAGAGAGAAGCACAGAAGACCAAAGGTGGATTATTTTAGGAAGGACCAGGGCAGGGGAGAAGGATCGACTGTGTCACATGATATCATTTATTTTGTGTTGGAAGGATGTTCCCGCTTCTAAAACATCTTTCTATCCTCTCTGACATACCCCTGGCAGAGATTCATTACTTTGGCTTAATAAGTGATCTCATTTAAAATGCAGATACCCTGGGGAAGCTTAATGCAGTGAGTCTATTAGTCATGTGCACCTTTGGGGGAAACCCCTTGGGTGAAAAGAAGAAAGAATCAGCACTTGGCAAAGAAGGCAAAGAGACAGGTAGAGAAGAATCTGAGGAGTGTGGAATAAAAATTGCAGGAGGAGGAATTGCAAGTGGGCCATGTGCAGAATGCCGCAGATGGTTCAGAGGTGAAGGAGTGTGAGGACCAAGAAGCCATTGGATTTTGCTAGCAGGCAGTTATTGATGACTTTGAGAGAGCAGTGAGGGTGCAGTTAGCGAGGGATCAATGGGGAGAAAATGAAGGCAGCAAGCAATTTGCAATAAAATGTCAAGGAATGGGGTATTGTGCACCAAAGATCACATGGGACGAATGAAGGCCGATTACTACAGGCACAAAATGAAATGCCAGCAGCATAAGAGGGGTTGCTGAGAGAAGGAGGAGAGGAGATGGCTGCAGCAGGAAGGCAGACAGGAGAAAGCTGGGAAGGAATGCAGAGCACCTGTGAGAAGCCTTAGCCTCCAAGCCTCGTTGTTCTCAAGAGAAAGGAACATGATGGAGACCTGTACAAGGGCCATTGTAGCTGAGCTGGCTGGTCATGGGGGCCAAATGGGCTCCTTTTTTTTTTTAATTGCAATTTATTTAATGGGTTCATTGCAGCTCTCATATCTAAAGTTTCCTTAAATCCAAGACTCTATGGAATTGTACCATAATTCAAAATTCAAAATAAAAATTAAAAAAATTGTGGCTCAAAATAGTGCCTTGTATGAGGAATATTCAAAATGTTCGTGAACATGTGTATTATGGCAAAGCTGCAGGAATATAATTTTTTAAACCAAAATAAACTTGTCTTCTGACTGAATTTTCCCTGAAATCTTTGAAGTCCCCTAACCTGTTTCAAAACAACCAGAAAATTTGGATTTTGTGTATTGCTCCCATAAAGAAATGGTAAAAAAATGTAAAGTGTTAGGTAGTCTATTGATCTTGATTAAAAACACAATGCATCCCTGACTTTAAGCTTCACATTGTACCCTATGGAGTATGCGTAATTGTCATTTCTCAAAAAGTCCCAAATCAGAAACCATGTCTTTACTTATTTATTTTGCATGAATATAATAATTGCCTGCTCTAGTGCTAACAATAGTATTGTGAATAAGAATGTGATGTCCACATTAGAGTATAATACACTGCCTAGCACCTGCAAGACCCCCTTTTTGAATTTTTACCACTTTTCAAGCTAAAATCCTATTTTCGTTCTATGAACCTGAAGGCTTATTTTGTGTCCAGACTAACATGGGCCTCACTCTTTGTGTAAACAATATGGCATGAAGGCTAATGCACCTGAGGGGCAAGCATGAATATTTGGATTGACTGTGATGTACAGCAAGGAGAGAGGGGAACTCCTGTTCATACCTGCATTAATGTAAAATTCAAATAGTTTGGGGCTTTTAAGTTGGATAATTTTTTCAAATCACTATTGTTGTTGTAGTTGATAATGTAAACTCTGTGTTTAAAAGCAGTAATTCCAGAAATCTTAGTAAATGAAATATCGCATTTGTATTGTCATGTGACGTTTTTCATTCAGGAAAAAGAAGAACGGTACCTGTTGTTATTTCCGAATGCCTTGATAATGTTGTCTGCAAGTCCTCGGATGAGTGGCTTTATCTATCAGGTTAGTAGATTTCATATAAAGCAAATAGCAGGACCCATAATGAGAAGAGGTTACCATTTTAAAGTTATTTATTCTCATCTACTTGAATGGTAGATGGGGAGAATAGGAAGGAGGGAGGGAAGTGAGGGAAAGAGAGAGAATGAATCAGTCTTCCATTTGTGGATTCAGTGTGCTCGACGGTCAGGGCTGAAGTCAGCAGTTGGGAACTCCAGTCACGTGGTTGGCAAGGGCCCAAGTGCTTGGGTCGTCCTCTGATGCTTTCCCAGGATGCATTAGCAGGAAGCTGGGTCAAATGTCGAGTGACTAGGACTTGAGCCAGTGCTTTGATACAGGATGCAGGTATCCCAAGGGGAGATTTAACCAGTGGTGCCAAAACACCCATCTTCAGGTGAGCATTTAATGCAGCACCTCCTCTACAGCATTGAAAGTTCAGGCCAGCAGAACTGAAATGTTCATTGTGATTAAGTACCTTATGAGGAAGATGATCAATGACCTACATATGAGTATAGTGAGTTTATCCTGAATATCCTCTGCTCTGTTTAGGAGCTAGAATTTGAATGCATAAATAGTAGGGTAAGTTTGACATGACATAAGTTAGTAATAGCACTGTTCACAATCATAGCATTAGGCTTGAGAAAATACACAGCTGGCCCTGTTCCCTTTTAGTAGACTCAAATCATGTGATTCCGGTTCTAAGATACCAATCATTACATTCCTCAGGAAATTAAACTCAATAGAGTATTATAACTTACTAGTGTCTGTTACATCATGACCTGGTAGTCACCGATTTTCATAAAGTTTTAGCCTTTACTTACTGATTTCTGCAAAAATGTTTCAAATGTGTTAAACTGCTTTGTAAATCCTGATTTTTATGGTTTAGAATGTGTGGGCCAAATGCAACCTATATTTTTCCCCCTTGCGTTATTGTCTGATTAGAATGTATTAGGACAGGGAGGTATAAATTCAGCTGTGATTTCAGAGAGAGTCTGAAAACCTCAGCGGAGTAATCAGCACAGAATGAATAGGAATCTTTTTTTTTTTTTTTTTTTGGCAGGGAAAAATACCAACAGCAGGAATGGTGGTGACTAGATTAGATGAAATTGAAGGAAATGACTGCACATTTGAAATCACAGGTAGGTAATTTTCTCTTCTTCATCTAGTTACTTCAAATCTTTTTTTGGATTGAAGTGGAGTTTAAATAAATAAATGCTATTATTTTCTGTCATATCACCCATAAGCAAGTTTTACGTGGACATGAACAAGTATATTCCATTTTCTGGAATAATTACGACCCGGTGAGAGAACAGAGAAGGCTCCTGGTCATTTAAAAGACTCAGGTTTGCCATTAGGTTCAATCTTCTCTTACATACGAGTTACTTGTGAGAGCTGAGGCAATAAAAGATGGACTGATGGGAATGTAGCTTTCTGGCCCTCTGTCATCAATTCCCTGGTGGCAGAGGAGCTAAAGATGTGGGCTATTATCAGTAATCTTATCATCAACCTATGAATTATTAAGATTTTGTTGTGCTTCTAAGAAGTGTTATAAAGCCATGAAACTTGCTTCACAAACTGAGCCCAATTCTCAGTTTTCATAATCCTCCCTGACACTCTGGCCTGTGGGCCATTTCGCCAGACCTTATGATTTACATGTCATGACTGCACTTTGCACTGATACGGTTCGATGGCCAAGACTGGAATAATGGTCCCTTTAAGCTGTACCCTCTTCTTTCCCTGTAAGAAGCCCAGGATGTGGTGTTTGACCATATACCATAATCAGGAGCAGTCAGTTCTTGTTCCAACTTTGATACTGGGGAGAATTAGCAGAATACATTCATTTTAAACTATGCACTAGATGTGATTGAAGTTTGAGACTGAGAATTTGTTTCTAGTGAAGTTTCCCACTACTTTAAGGATCCTGTAATCAGTGGAAATCGAGGGTAGTTTAAAACCATACATAAACCTCTGTTTATTCTGTTGCTACAGGACTTCTCTGTTCTTTGCAGTAATGTTGCAAATGGTTATCCAATGGGTGATCATGACCCCTGAAAAAAGATACCCAAGTCCTAGTTGTGTGGAGTGCATTTACAAATGAGATAGGCCCAAAGTTATCCTTGCCTTTGGTTTTCAAATGCTCATTTTTGGGTGATCCAGGCACCATGATAGATAGACTTGTGGTCCATTGCAACAACAACCAGGACTTCCAGGAATGGTTGGATCAGCTGAGCAGACTGATCAGAGGACCTGCTTCCTGCAGTTCATTGTCCAAGACATCATCATCATGTAGTGCTCATTCGGTAAGTAACCGCTTGTTCTATCTAGGGGTTATTGAGTCTTTCATAGAGTTTCACCTGCTGAAGACTTAACAAGAATCCGCAAGCACACCCTTAGTTTTTTTGGGAGTCTGTATTTGTAGAATCTGAAGTACAGTTAAACCTCACTAATTCTGATTTCTCAAGGTGAGGCCTGTTAAAATTAATAAAATGTTTCACTTAGAGGTATGCAATTTTGTTCAGCGCTATTCAAACACTCCAACTAACTGCTAGAGCGTTTCTAACCGGAAGTCTTGCTAAGATGTTTTAACGGCAAAGACTTGATTTAATTAGCAATCATTACTCTCGTATTAATAATGTATTAAGTTAGAGCAAATAGTCTCCTTCTTTAAGAATTTAAACACCTCCATGTAATCTCGCTCATGCTATCACACTTGCTCAGTAATCATCTTCAAAGGCATACTGTCAGCATTGTCTTCTGTGTTTTCCTGAATTTAGAATTCATATAATTTGAATTGATGAGATTTTACTGTACTTGCTGAGTGGAAAGGAAGATACGCTATGTTGTCTTTTAACACGCAAGCATGTAGCACCCAAACTTCTGGCACTGAACTATGCATTGTGGTTGGAAGAACATGGACTTTGGCATCAGATCAGGTTTAAATCTTGGCTTCTCCAGTGACTAGTAGTTACTTCACTTGGCAGAGTTTGATGAAGCAACCTATTTGAACAGAGTGGCAAACATATCACTGAACTCAAGACTATCATTACACTTCCCTGTGCTACAGAGGGAAAATATCTGACTTTCGCGAAATACTAGAACACAGGACAGAATCCTAAGATGCTGAGTCAATTTTTGTTGTTCCTGAGACCCCATAATGTTAACTGAGAAACACTAGTTCTCAGACTGGAGACTCTGTTCATTTTTCCCTTTCTCCAGCTGGTTTTGTTGATCCATAAAACTATTGTTCTCTCACTGTGTGGCACGAGGTCGGGTTCAGATGGCAGATTGCCAATATCTCATCAGACATTTTCCCAGTCTTTTAGCTCTACTGGACAGCCCCGGGGACCCTTGGAGCCTCCTCAAATTATAAAACCATGGAGTTTAAGTTGTCTGCGACCTGCACCTCCACTTAGACCATCAGCAGCTCTAGGTTATAAAGAGGTAATCTTGTTACATGTGGTATAAAATGCTTTTGATGAGCTAATATCATAAAGTTTTACAAATAGTTCAGTGGGAATGTGCTAGATCTAATGAGAAGTGATTTATGCCAGTTAGTCTTGAATTGCTAAACTCAGTGATTTTTGTTTGTTGGTTTTTCATTTCCCCGTTGGCCATCTGAAAATATTTGCAGACTAGGCACTAAACACTACCGAGTTGTCCAAGCATGCCTCTGCTTTACTTTTGTGATGGTGGCGATCGTTCTTTGAATTAGTTAGCCAGACACACATGTCATGAACAAGAGCTCTTCATTTGAGTTGAATCTTCAACTAAGTAGACTCAACTCAACATTTTGCATCATTTTTGGTTTATTAGACCAGATCAGTATAAAGTATATGGAACCAAGACGTGAACTCAAAGTATGAAAGCTATTTGCTCTAGCTGGGAAGGGTAAAGAATTTGATGAGAGGAATGTCTTGAAGTTTTTCTGCAAGGATCTTAAAGGATATTTGATATTTGGGTAAGTTAGGGATTTCAGAGCTTCTTTCCCCCTTGCACTTGCAGTCAGGAGATAGCAGTCACTGGGCACTCTGATTTTTGTACTCACAGTGATTGTTTTTTCCCCCTGAGTCTGTTTATCATCGTTTCATATTTCAGGAAGGATGCTTAGTAAGTTGTGACTTTTCTTTAAATGGGTCTTGTTGAATGAGCATTAAGCTTGTGACAGGAGACTAGAACGGTGGTGCAGAGACAACATATATTTCTGTATCGAATGTGTTTTGAGTGCTGCAGACTTTGCTCAATTTTGAGGGTGTTTTCATTTACACTACCACGCTTCTGTTTCAGTTCATTTTTGTCACCAAAGTTTGGTGTAGTAAAAATAGTCCAGTATTTGAACACTAAAGGAATCTTTGATTCTTTCAAGTCGATGTGGTAGGAGAAATAACCCTTGAATGGAATCTTTATTATGCACCTCAGTTCAGAATTTGGCTGGGACACATTCCCACAGATTCGCTTTGGAAACTGACTTGCAATTCCTGCAATCACCCAGTTTCTTCTTTGGTAACCTAAACTAGGAGTTCCACTTTATAGTTACCTTGGTCCTTTCTAAAATGGTGGATAATTTGTAATTGTCAGTTGCTAGGAGCAAGTGAAGGTGCGCTTTGAAGGGTAAAGTCAACTTAATCCTTCACATAACTAATCTATTAAAACCAAGGCACGGTCACTTTGTTTCTGCTGAGGGCAGAGAATGATTAATATATTCTGATGACGTGGTGTGTATTTAAGTTATTTTCAGCATTTGTAATTCCACACAGAACTGTATTCCTTGGGCTTTTGCATGACGAGAGGGCATCTGAAACTAATGTGGGAAATGGGATGATATTCTTTCTTTGTAATTTATGATAACACTAACATTTCAAATATTGTTTTAGAATTATTGATAAATGGATTTGGTCATAACCATCGATCTCTCACGCTCATCTTCTCTTTCTTTACATATTCATTTTAGAGGATGTCTTATATCTTAAAGGTAAGGGTAGAATAATGTCTTTGGCTTACAGTGACATCATCATACTGTGCAATAGCTATTGCTGAATGAAACTTTCCTTTATGCTTGCTTTGTTCCTTGTTATACATGGTGGCTTAAAAAATGAAGATAGAATTCTGACATGTAAGTACTTTCTTCCCAGAGGAGGCTCCTGTGAAATATGTGTGAAAATTTCACCTAATAAGGCCTTAAAATGCCACTTTTCTTGCTTTCTATTGTCCTGTTGTTTTTCCGCATGTGATTTTCGAGTCTTAGTGGAACACTATGGCTAAGTGAAAGACCTCAAATAGTTTGTTTTAATTAAGATACTGATTTTACATATATAAGATTGGGGTAAAATGATCCTGAGGAGGTTTTTCTCCAAATCTATCTAATCTAGTTACTTGGATATTGACAAAGGTTATGTAACAAAAGTAAATTCAATATTTGGCACGTCCTTTATTGACTAATTCAAAATTTGGCTTTTGTGGCCAGTGGTGTTGTCGCATAGTAGGTGAGGCTGCTGTCTGTGTTGCTGCCATCCCATGTTGCTGCTTTGTGTCCCAGTTGATCCACTTCCAACCCAGCTCCCTGCCAATGGCCTGGGAAAAGCTGTGGAAGGTGGCCCGAGTGTTTCCACACCAGCTGCCCATGTGGGAGATACAAATGAGGCTCCTGGCTTCAGCCTGGCCCAGCCCTGCTTCTTGGGGCCACATGGAGAGTAAATCAGCAGATGGAAGCTATCTTTCCCAATGCCCATTTGTCTGTATGTCTCCCCTCTGTAACTGTTTCAAAATAAACAAATCTGTTTCTTTAAAAAATGGTTTTATTCACACGCAGTTAAGCTTGGCCATGAGTATGTTACTCTTTATCCCAATTATTATCAGAAAAGGATTTGGCTCTCTGTAAAAAAAAAATAATAATCTTTCTACTTTGATTTTCTCTACAGACAAATGGAAGTTATACGCTTCTTTGTGAGCTTGCTTTTAAAGAAAAGTTATTTAAATAATTCAGATTTTTGTTTGAAAAGAGAAATATGCTGCATTGTTAGGTATTGTTATTACCTAACTTCTTTAGGGATTATAAACCAAGGGAAGCATGTTGCTTAGGGTTGACCTCCATTACTATCTCTGCAGGTGGTCCCCTAATGATATTTGACCTCCTGGCACATCTGTGAAATTTCGGGGGCACATTCCATTTTCCTGCCCAGCCCTATGACAGTTGGCAGGAGAGTGCCATTGCCTCTGTTTCATTTCACCTTTTAGCCTTCATAGGAGCCATGTTTTAAAAATTGTGTATTGCATTGAAATTTGAAGTACTTCTGAGACTGTCAAAATAAGACAGAGGCATCGCATTTCATATGCTCTGTTTCATTTGCTCTTGAGCGAAAATTCAAATTCAGTAAATATATGTATATATAGATATAAATATTTCTGTGCTTACAGGAGTCTAGTAAAAGCCCCAAAACGATGAAGAAGTTTCTTCATAAAAGGAAGACTGAGAGAAAACCATCAGAGGAGGAATATGTAATCAGGAAAAGTATGTGCTTTGTACTTTTTGAACAATATGTGTGGATGAGCAGACATAAGAATATTTTCCAAGCAAACAATTACATCAGTATGTTTTGGCATCATCTGTTACATTAAAAAAAAAAAAAAGCAGCCATAGGTTTGGTCACTTTTAAGATTTTGAGTACGCTGGCTCGTACTGCCTGTCATGTTATCTTAGTCAGACATCATCTGTCTGAGACTCAAGTTCAACATTTTGCCCCAGCTGGTTTAGACCAAATCAAGAGACCTGTTTGTTGTGGATACCATTTCTTTCCTCTTAGTTTCTCATGCCTGAGATATTTCCCTGGTCAGAGATTGCCTGAACAGCTGGAGTCTTTTTTGGAGTCTACTGCTTAGTGATGTGCCCAGTTTAGTTCAAGAATCAGCCTACTAGCATCTGGAAATCTGAATTAGTTTAGACACAAGCTGCAGTCATTAGCCAGCTGAACTGTATATATGAGAGCACTTCCAAAAGTTCATGAAATTACATATTGTGAAAAGTTTTGCATGCTCTCAATTTTTTATACTGAATATACTTACCTTTTCATTCTTTTTTCCTCCCATGAACTTTTGGGAGTCCCCTAGTGTTTGGCTATAAGATGCAACCAAGGTACTTTGCGATACAGTTGAAGGAGTAAGTAATGTTTTACAAAGAGATGATAGACCAGTATGTCTCAGTTGAAAACAGTCTGGTTAGATTTTTCGCAACTCCAGTTTCTGCAAGGCCTGTTCTCCACTCCACACTGGGTGAGCCCATCAGTGTGTTTCCAGACTGCTGTCCTTCAGTCAGTTCAACAATAAGTTTGGGAGGATTAAGGATGGTGGAGGGACAATCAGAGACTCAATGGCTGTTTGGAAGACAAGTGAGTTTCATGATAGAAAGTGTCCTGGAGATGGTGATCCTGAGGTTTAGAGGAAGTCAAGGTTGTAGCGTGTTGGATAAAAACTGAAGCCAACACCTAGGTCAGTATTGTGCTCTCAGCCTCCGAGAGATACCTGACATAATCCCTCATTCGTGAGCACTGGGCTTCTGGAACACACCCATCATGGGGCCGAACCCGTGCAGGCTGGTCCTAGAGCTTCACAGGGCTGCTAGTGCTCTTCTCCAGCATGAGGATTGCACAGTTCATTCTCCTGCCTTCCAGAAACATCATTGGATAGACAAGGCAGTTCCTGGGCCTGGTACCCACTGCGTCATTTTGAGGATCCAGCAATACCTATGCTTGAAATCTCATTATTGTTCAACAGGTACGGCTGCTCTGGAAGAGGATGCTCAGATTCTTAAAGTGATTGAAGCCTATTGCACCAGTGCCAATCTTCAACCAGGCCATGGCTCAAGTAGGTACCTCCCCACCCCCACCAAAGTGCCTTATCTAACATGTGGTGTTTCTTCCGCATTGCTCACTGCCTCTTAGAGAGAAAAGCAAAGCACATGGGTTGCAGGGCGTGGAGGGCAGGTGACTTGGCGCAGAGGAGCGGTGCAGGACTGCATCTTTCAGATAAGGCGGTTTTAAGCTTCTAAGCAGTTTGTTTACTTACTGTTGCTCTTCACCCAGAGAGAAAAAGATGTAAGACTAAAAAAGCTGGAGGTGATAGAAATGAAAAAAAAAAATCTAAAAACTCATCTCCTTTGAAGTGCACAGATACCTTCACCAAGACTAGTTAGGAATTAAAGAGCTCAGAGAGTTCCTGTGTCTGCGAACTGATGCTAATCTCTTATAGGCAGATTTGGAAAGGAAGTCAAAATACTATCTTTGATCAGCTACATATTTAAGTGAACAATGTTGCACCAAACTCAAGTTTCAAAGTTGCCTTGAAAAGCTGGAGACTAGCTGCATAGCATGCACTGTTCAAAATGGATGCAGTTTTTTGTGGTGCTGTTAGGATGAGGGTAAATCTCAGAAAATCTTTCAGGCTACAAACTGAAAGCAAGCTAATGTATTCTGATTTCTTCTTTTGCTTTTCAAAAGCAGATGATGTCTTTTCTCCCCCGTTGTTATTACCGTTCAAGATCTTTTCTGTGAGTTTTTTTGCATCTGCATAAAAAAAATAAATGCTCTGTTTTTGGACAGCCCCTGACCACTGCGGTATGGGAAGGCATTTCTCAAAGGGACTGCCTTTAGATATGTCCCTTAGCAGTGACACACCTCCAAGGCTGTTACAAGGAAAAAATTCCATGTGAGAGGCCATGCATTTGACTAGGAGGGAGGACTGCCACATCTTTCTACTTCCTGGACAAAACCTGGCCAAGGCTCTGGGTATGCCCCACTCCGAGGACCAGAAGGGGAAGAAATTGGGGGGCGTTTTTATCATGTGAAACAGTGAGAAGAGGGAGACAAAGAGGCATCATAGGAAACAGCCCTCATATTAAATTTGCCATTACTGGCACTCACCTGGTGTCTTTTTGACCTGGACAGAGCTGATGGATCTACTCAGAGACACAGGCAAGAGATGAGCCTGGACAGTCACCCTTTTCCTTCTGCTCCCAACGCTCACTTTCACACCTAGGAAGCATCTAATACACACAGCAGGCCTTTTAGCATTACAGTGTGCTGCCAACTCCTTTCTGCAGCCAGAAGCCTGGTTCCCTAAACTAGTGGCTCTTGGCACTTGCTGCTTTGAGTTGGCCATTCAATCTGCTGTCGCCTTATAAAGCCTCTAGGATGTGTGGGTCCTGGAGAAAGAGGAAACATGTCCTATCTCAGGAAAGAGGAGGTGAGCAAGTGAAGTTATTGAGTATGCACACCTTTGAGGGAATTTGACCTAAGAGACAGGAGGCCAGTGGCTGAGGGAGACCAGATTAAATACTTGAACTTGGAAGGGAAGTGTCCAGAGTGAGGGGGGAAGTTCCGGGTTCAGGGAATCTGTTTTGCTTGTTGCTGTGTCACCTCCTGTCACACTTCTGTCACAGAGCTTGGATATAGTTTGAGCACTCAGGAACATCTGTAACTTGACTGCTGGTGTAGTATCTTCCTAACTCCATCCTGAAACTCTACCCCAAAGGGATTTAAGTAACTTGGAGGATGCTGCAGAGAATGAATGTGCCTCAACGAAACTCCCAAAGCCCTTCAAAGCACATGTGTCCCAGTACAATGTTGCTCTCCATCTGACTTACAACAATTACCCAAACAGCACAGCAAAGGATGCTGTGTGTCATTCTCTGGAGATGTGCAAAAATACAGCAGTCACTGCTCAGCTGCTTGCTTTGGGGAGGCAAAACAGGAAGATGTAGGGATCTTTATGGAGGACAGTGATTACAGTGGCCTTTTCATATTAATTCTGTGAATACAAAATGTCTGCCCACCCCCACTACCATGACAAAATACATTTGGCCTTTTAGAGTTGCCCCTGTTAGGAAGATGAGTTAGAGAGTGTCGGGTGACTGCCCCCTGGGTGTAGGCTAGCAACATGCTGGGAACCGAGGTCCCTCCATAAGCATGTTGGGAAGGAGTACACAGCCAGCACTGATGCTAAGTAGTAACTCTCCCTCCCTGTTCCTGCTGCAATGCTGTTTTGTAGGTGCTCGCAAAGATTCTGTTCCACAAGTCCTGCTACCAGAGGAAGAGAAGCTCATCATTGAAGAAACCAGAAGCAACGGGCAGACCATCATCGAAGAAAAGTGAGTTGGGTGGGCTAAACCTTTCTCACTGTGTCTGCAGGCTGGCAAAATCTGGCCCAGCAATGTGGTGGTGGGACGTGCTTTGCTGTACAACCAGTGGTGAGTCCTGAGGAGAGCTGCCTTCCCAACACATGGAAGAGGCAGGAGGGGTGGAGGGGCCAGAGCTCTGGGGAGCAAGTGCACATGCTGGCTGTCCTGCAGCCACTTCCCCCATGCAGTAAGTTGCTTAATGACATGTGGAATACTGGCACTCTCGACAGATTTAAGAGATGCCTGGCAAGGCCATGGCACACCTTTTCCTTTCCAAAATTGTGTCTGATGGACTTGGTCACACTTAGGTGCTGGAGTTTCACAAACTTGACCTCACTGGAAATCTTACTGCTGCTGAAGAAGCTAAGGAGTAGGGAAAATGATGTCTTTGGCCTCCCTTTGCAGAGTAGTGAGTGGTGACTAAAGGCGGGGATGGCTTAAATAGCCCATGGCTCATAAACGAAACAAAGAGGGGCCAAATAGCTCATGTGCTTCTTCTTGAGTCATCTCTGAAGTCAGACCTGGATTTGCATAGGACAGCACATTTCAAAGGGCTGGGCACTTTTAATGCATTTTTATATCTGCTATAAGAAGTGACACTACAAAATAAATGGTAAGGAACTTGGCCTCAAGAGAAGAAGAGGTGTGACTCAACTCTGAGTGCTTCTAATCATTAGCTGTGGGACCTGGAGCCTATTCCTGCACCTCATTTTTCTCAACTAGAAAAGGAGAGGGGCTAGCAGGGTTACTGTGTGAGCAGATGAATTGCTAGTTACAGACTGCACTCAACAATAGTACTGCTGATTATTATTCTTACAGCTATGTGAATTTCTCCGAAATGTCTTTATATTTTCGTTTCACTAAGACCAAGACAGAATAATACGGGAAGAAGTTTTCTAAGGCTAGCACATTAGTAAGTGACAGAATTGAAGCTGGAACCAAAATCTCTAAACTCCTTGCCCAGAGAAAGAGCCAGAAACAAAAAAGACTTTCCTAAAACCCAGCCAGAATCCTTCACCTGCTTTCTTTGGTGATGTATGAAATTTTCCAGAAATAATATCCCCGCCTTTGTGTTATGTGGTGCCAGATAAATGAGAAGGGCAGTACCACGGCACAGACATCATAGAATAGCTTGGGAATGCTTCGTAGTGTGTGTTCATTGCTGCTCACTCCTGTGCTACAGCTAGGGATATCAAAACTGCATGATGAGAGCTTTAAAAATTTGAACTCACAGGATCAGAGAGTTAGAATGGTGATTACAAAAATCATACAGGACCACACAGAGAGATGTTAATCAGCACCTTTAAAGTTTCACTTCTGCAGGATGAATGAGTTCAGGAGAGCTAATGTACAGCATGGTGGCAATGGTTACCATGGTGCTGTGTGCTCGAAATTTGCTAAGAAAGCAGTCATAAGTGTTCACAACACACATACACATACAGACACTCAGAATGGCAGCTACTTGAGTTAATGAATTGATTACCTTAATAGGGGTAATCATTTCACAGTATATATACGCATGCACATGTATATAAAGCTTGTGTTGTACACCCTAAAATAAATTATTTCAAAGATTATTTAGTTATGAGAGAGAGAACCTACTTTTTGCTGGTACACTCCCCACATGCCCACACTGGCTAGGGCTGAGATGGAGCTTCTTCAGTTGAGATCTCCACTCCAAATCTCCAAATCCAGATCTCCAAATCCAGATCTCTCACATAGGGAAGCAAAGACCCAATGGCAAGGGCCTTTGTCTGCTGCCTCCCAGCGTGTACCTCCGCCAGTCAGGGGAACCCAGGCACTACACTGTCCCATGGGCATCTTACTTACCCACCCCTATACAATCCTTAGTCATCAAATTATTCCTCTATAACATGGAAAAAATGTTGTGATGGGCTCTTGCATTTTATCTTGTTCTCACACAAACTGGGAAGTGAGTATCAAAGGAGCAGGGAATTGTGGAGAGACAATGACAGGGGCTTGAAATGGGCAGCATGGTGGAAATGTTCTGCCATGAAAATAAAGGACGTGAGGACCACTGGGAGGACTACCATCTGCTCAGCTAGAAAGTGCACTGCTTTTTAGGATTAGTATTTGTATCAAGCTGCTTTTATACAACACTTCAGTGCCCACCAGCCATCCCTGAATTTCAACTTTATATTCTAGGAGCCTTGTCGATACTGTTTATGCTCTGAAGGATGAGGTCAAAGAACTGAAACAGGTAATACAACATCAATTTCATTTTCTCACTGCCTCTTCCTTGCCCCACACAGATAGATGCTATCAGGGAAGGTTCCAAAGACAAGGTAGTGAGGGGGATGCTTTTGTTATTAGGGCGCACTTCATTGATTTTACCATAGGACTGTTTCCATTTCCGCAGTTTGCTTATGTACTTGTGGAGCAGGCTCTATGTGGAATTAACAACTTGCCTGTTCTCTGACCTCATTTTCTTAAAGGCAAAATCATCTGTTGGTGTGTAATTGTAAAGAGAACCCTAAAACATTGCTTGAGGGCTCCTCTGCAGATGGGATACACACTTCACTTACTGCATGACTAACCCTGGTCACAGGGTGAGGGAGGGATGAGAGGGGGAGATGCCAGGGAAGACCCCTTAGGAGGTTCTAATGAAACTCAGGGGGAACAGAAGTCCTCAGGTTCTTACAAGATGCAGGCCAAGGAGGTGCCAGAGGAGAATTAATAGAAAGAATAGAAGGTAGCCTATGAAATTTAAACCTATAGAATATGATGACATGATGTTGTGGTTAAGACAGGGCAACAGATCGAGTGCAGTCTCTTCCTTGAATATCAAGGTGGGTGTGATGGTGTGCTTCACAGAGACCAGGAACGAAAGGAGAGGGAAAGGTTGCGGGTGGCAAGGGAGAGGTTGTGGTCACTTCTAGGACTTAATGAGTTGACATGGTTGTAAGTTACGCAGTTATGGTTGGAAATACTGAACTGCCATTTGAGATTATGGGCCCAGAAGATGAGGTTAGCAACAGATATTTGAGAGGTTAACAGACACTTGGCCCAAAAGGCAAGAGGCACCAAGTAAAAGTAGTTAAATTAGAAAAGAACCAGATGGCGTCAAAGCTTTAGAGAATGCTTGTATTTCAGGGAAGTGGTTTCAACGTCAATCAGAGAGAGGTGAGAAAATTAAGAGCTTCTTAGAAATTGAGGGAAAAGTGTTTGGGCAAGATGAACAGGAGGAACCATGGGACAGGCCCACTCTAGGAACCAACATGTCTTTTGCTATTGTAGGAGAATAAAAGAATGAAGCAATGCCTAGAAGAAGAACTGAAGTCACGGAGGGACCTAGAAAAGCTGGTTCGGAGGCTGTTGAAGCAAACCGATGAGTGCATGCGAGCTGAGTCCGGTAGCAAGACGTCGCTTCTTCCATAAGCCTCCCTGCGCATGGAGAGGACGTGCTTTCAGGGCATCTTGAAATGTCTGGTCAAAGAATTTGACTCAGTTTGCTCACTTTTTTGGCTTTTAGTTTGCATTTGAACCTTTCTCCCTCTCATTTCATGTTTGACTATTGGTCGTTTAATTTTCCAACAGGGAAAAAAAAAAAGCAGAAAATGAAGGTAGAAGTGACTCCAGTCTTTCCCATTGAAGGAGAAAAGAAAGCTCATGCAGGCAAACACCTTAAGTGGTCCTCAGATGGCCTTCGGTTCACAGTGCCTCTACAAGAGCAATGCCCTGAGCTGTGCTCATTGCGCTGCTTGCTGCCGCGAAGCAGCTGGCCATGGCTTATTTAGTGTGAAACCTACCTTCCCCTAGCCAGCGCTTTCCTGTACCTGCTAGCCTCTCAGTATCCAACATGCTGAAGGCAGAGCTCCCAGAGCCGTGACTAGAGTAGGGTGAAAGATGAACAATTGCCCAGTGAGCCAGCTATGCTCCCCTAAACTGTCATGCACCACCCTCAATCAAGCACACCACTTACAGTTATTACTCTTTGTTGTCTCTAAAATCAAGAAAATAGCAGCACCTTTATTCCTGTTGTGTTGGCGCATGGCTTAGCTGAAGGAGGCAGGCGCTGGTCTTTTGTGCCATCACCCAATCCATTGGACAATCCTTCCCTTCTGCAGTGAAGCTGCCCATCTTCTCCTGGCGCATGATAAGTTCCACCTAGCCTCCTGCCCACAGTGTACGTTTTCTGTTTCCCCAGTGCTTTTAGTCAACTGTACCAAATGATATGTAAACTTGTATGCTCTTTGTTTCCTTTTTTAAAAGTGTAATTAGGCTGCAAGCAGTTACTTTACATTGCATTTTCAAGCTGTGACATTTCAGCCTTCAAAGCACTCTGCACTGAGAAGATATTGTGCTCTTCTGACAGCTCTCATGCACACTATTACTCTCATTTATGCTATGTGAATCATACTCATCCATGTCTTTCAATAGGACTCTAAGCATTATTTGCAAAAAATGTGCTGTTGGTTTGGTTTGTATAAGAGAACGGTCTCTGTTCTGGCTACTAGCAGAGCTGAGTATTTGCAACTGGTTTACTCAAATTCCTGATTGGATGAGTGAACAGAACCATACACATCCAAATTTGGCGCAAAGGAAAGTTAACCCAAAGTTCTAGCACTTGGCCTTCCCTCCTCTTAAGACAGGCCACCACGGGCTGTGACACTGGAAGCAGAGGCAAAGGCCAGTTGGTTGATGAAAATTGTCTTCCAGATACACTGGTGGGTGTCTGTAATGCGGATTTTGCAAATGTTTAGAAACCAAACACGAAACTTGGAATCCTCAGCTAGCAGAGGAGCCTTTTTTTCCTCTCTGGTACTGAGGTCTCTAGATCTCCAAGCCACATGGTACAGGTCTGTGGTCTGCTTGCTGCACAGCAGGCATTGCACCACCCGAAGGAAGTGGATGATTCCTGAATCATCACCCGTCACAAGGCACCTTTGGGAACCCTAGACACAAGATTTCTAGGAATGGCTGTTCTTTTTTTTGGCACAGAAGTTTGGGACTGATATCCTTCACCTAAAAATTATAACAACATAGGTCTTTGCATTTCCCCTGGCTGTGGTTACTTAATGCCTTGCAGTAAATGTGCATACTGTACCCTTAGGAAACGCGCACGCGTGCGTGTGTGTGTGTGTGTGTGTGATGACAAGATATTTTGAGTTGATTGCTTAAGATGTTGAAAGATCTTTATTTTAGAATGATGTGTACATATGCATGTTTTGGGGACTTGGCCCTTCTGACAAGAGGCTTTGGCACTCTGGGTAATGAAGCTTGCGCACAGTGGTGTCTGCTCTTACACACTAAACAATAATATAAAGGAAATGAAGCCATGTTAACCTGAGAGCAATGTCTCCATAGCTGTGTGGTTTACAATACTCCGTTCATGGGTTTCTGTTACTCTGTCATTCTCAACCGCTGCCCTTAGAGGCTTTCAGTTCTCTTTCTGTCATGCCCCTTCTTACATGAGCTCAAAATTTTCTAACTTGTTTTTATTTTGAACTTTTAAAATGGACATTTTCAATAAATAAAATAAACTGTGCTTTTTAAAATATGTCCTTTGTTTCCTGTGACATTTTAAATTTTAATTGGCTAATGCTAATTGTATGTATGTGCTGGCTACAATATATTTCAATGCATGAATGCATGGTGGAATGATCAGATCTGCCTAATTATTTTATTCACTTGTGAGGAGAGCTTTGACATCTCTGCTTGCTTTTTTGATATGTGTAATACTTTTCATTAATTGCAATCATCATAGTATGCAATAGCTCATCAGAACTTACTCTTCTAGTCAAACTGAAACCTGTACACATTTGACCAAAGTCTCTCCCTTCCGCATCTACTCCCCCTCACACAGACCCTGATAACCACCAATCTACTCTCTATTTCTATGAATCTGATTTTTTTAGATTTCATGTAAAGAGAGCTCCTACAGTGTTTGCTTGCCTAACTTACTTCACTCAGCATGATATCCTCTAGGCTCAGCCATGTTATACAAATGGTAAGATTTGCTTGTTTCTAAAGATGGAGTAATATTCCATTATATGTATATATACACATATATACACATATATATATACATTCAGATATAGATGTAGATATCTATATGTATCACATTTTCTTTATTCATCTGTTGATGAATATATAGATTGCTCTCATATCTTGACCTTTAAAAAATGCTGGAGTTAATGTGTGAGTGGCATGCATTGTCTCTGTAAATATACGCTGTTCTATGTCTATTCTCTTGCTCAGTCTGGTCCCTCGATGGTTAGTCTTATTGGGCATAGTCAGAATGTTGATGTCAGAAGTCAGAATGAAAATATCTGCTGAACATCATCTCTATCCTTTTGATGGTTTGCCTTGAAAACATAAGGGATAAAAAGTAAATTTCCAAGACTATATTGTAGCCAGAGTTCTAGACACAACATAGGTTCTCCTAGACACATTCCCAGTTCTCCAAAGAAGGCTCGGAAGGCTAAGTTTATAAAGAAGTTCTCTTCTTGGGGCATGAGGGCTGGCAAGCAGTTCCAAAGTCACATTTGTGGGTTCTGTGCTATTCGTGCCAGTGGGTTCATCAAGCTTTGTGGGTGAGAGGCAGTAGTAGGTCCCACTGAGATTGTAGTCTCTGTAGCATATTTCTACTTATTTACGAGAGAGAGACGGGGGGGTGGGGGGAGAATCTGTCCTCTGACTCATTATCCAAATAGCTGCAACAGCTGGAGCCGGACCGCTCCAAAGGTAGGCGCTAGGAGTGTCTTCCAGGTCTCCCGTGTGTGCACTTGAGTCATTTTTGAATGCTTCCCCAGGTACATTAGCAGAGAGCCGGATGGGAAATAGAGCAGACGGGACTTGATCCAGTTTCTGTATGGGTTTCTGGCATCACATGGGAAGCTTTACTCACTACACCACAGTGGCCTGTCTGATCACAGTCTCTAAAGAAGTGTTCCTGGTACAGGTGTTTAACACAGCAGTTGAGATGCTGCCTGGGATGCTTGCATCCCATATCAGAGTATCAGGTTTGATTGCAAACTCCAATTTCTATTCTAGCTTTCCATTAATGCACACCCTGGGAGGCATCTGGTGATACCTCAGCTGGTTGGGTCCCTGCCACCCACGGATGTAGTTCATTAGTTTTGACTTGGTCCCACCCAGGCTATTGTGAATGTAAGGGAAGTGAGCCAGTGGGAAGGAGATTCTCTCTCTCCTTTTCAAATAAAGTTTAAGCTTTTCTTTTTTTTAATACATAACTGTAGAACTCCTCAAGCCCATAGAACCTCAAGTCTCCTTGGCTACTGTAACAAGGGATCTTTTTTAGACGCAGATCTGTTGTAGTACAGTACATGTGTGCTTTCACAATGGAATCTCACTTTTTCTTTCATGTTGCTTCACATTGATGTGATCTTCTATGCACCAGGGCTGCCAGACCTTCTTTTTTCCTACCACTTTTAAATTCCATCCTGTCCACTTGCCCCACTGGTGTGCTGGGGGTGGTGACCCACATAAGTGCACAAAACAGCACACTCTGCCAGGGCCATTCTATAACAATCTCTTCAAATAGTCCCAACTCTTGCAAAGTAGCTATTCTCATTCCCACTCTACAGATGAGGATAGTAAGGACCTGAGGATTTTCTTATCATTACAAAGTTTGTAACAGTGAAGACTGTATCTGACTAGAACTGGCTGATGTTTCTGGTTTGGACTTGTTTAAATGGGGACTTGGCTTACAGAGGAAAATAATATACAAAAAAATCATTCTTAGTTCCTTGTTTCTGCATCTCCAGGTACTTCAGACTACCTTGCAAGCCTGAGGCAGTGCAGCAGATAACCCAATGCTGGCAGGCCCCATGGCAATGATTGAATATAATACAAAATGTGTTCCTTCCCAAAGCCTGAGTGTCTTGCTGGTGTTTCTCTTTGAGTGGCACCCTTGTGCTGCCAGTTTGCTAGAGCATGCTATTAATATTTTCTAGTCATCAGATAACAGAGACAATATTGCTTATCTTTCATTCATTTTCTCTTTATTTAGAAATAAAAATTACCAGATATTTCAAGGATTCCTCCCCTCACCTTAGAAGGAATTTGGAAATGAGTTGTTTTTTGGAAGATTTATTTGTATTGGAAATACAGGGTTATACGGTAAGAAGGAGAAGCAGAGAGAAACAGAGATCTTCCATTTGCTGACTCACTCCTCAAATAGCCACAATGGCTAGAGCCGGGTTGCACCAAAGCTAGGAGCCAGAATCTTATGAGTTTCCCTCCTGAGTTCAGGGGCCCAAGTGTATGGGTCTTCTTTCTGCCTTTTCAGGCCATAAGCATGAAGTTGGATGGAAAATTGATCAAGCAGGACTCAAGCTGGAGCCCATAAGAGATGCTAGGAGCTCAAGGCAGAAGCTTAGCCTACTATACCACCATCCCAGCTACTAGTGAAACATTTTTAGAGATGAAATTAAATTGGATACTTTATAATCAGAATATTACAGGTTGATCAGAAATGAGCTTGAGTCCTTATCTTTTATTGAACTTAATTTGATAATGGTCAAGTGGTGGAGTGGGCATTGTGGTGGCACACGTTAATCTGCTGGTTAGGATGTCCATATCCCATATCACAGTTCCCCTTTTAATACAGCTTCCTGTTAATGAACTCTGAAAGAGAGCGGATGCTCAACTGCTTGAACCCTTGTCACCCACATGGAAAACCCAAATGGAATTCTAAACTCATGGCTTTGATCTGGCCTAGTCATGGCTGTTGCAGACACCAGGGAAGTGAACCGAACAGATCCTTCAATCTGTCCTGGTTTCTCTCTCTCTCTTTCTCATTCTCTTGCTCTCTCTCTCCCTGATTCAGATTTTCAAAAGGATGAAAAGAAATTAATAAACATTTACAAAAAAAAACCCAACACAAATGGCTTGAGTTTGGAGCAAATGTCATCTACCATTTTGCAACTGAAAATATACTATCTGTTTTCCTTTGTACTATAATTCACCCCTCCCCGTGACATGAGGGCATTTTACCATGGGGATAGTTTTGACAGAATGAGAGTCTTTACAGTACCAACATTTTTTTGCTTCAATCAACACGGAGCAGGGTCTTTGGTAACCACTGAAGGTTTTACAATGAATGAGATGAGGTCTAGGTTCTCAGGAAGCTCACAGCATAGATGGAGAAACCTCAACCATAACAATTACAAGGTGCAGTGGAAGAACGGAATGGGTCTTTGAAGAAGAGAAAAGAGAATTCAATTTAAAACTAAAATATAAGAAACTGAGAAAGGTATTGGCAGGGAATGAACTAAGTTAATTGTTTTGACTTTTCCCCTAATATCAACAAGAAACAGGGGATAATGAAATCAATAATTGTATTTATGAATTCTCTCTGGATGTACATAGAGAATGAATAGAAGGGAGTAAATGTAGTGGAGGGAGTCTGGGAGGCTGGTGTAGCATTCTAGAATAGAGATGATGGTAGTTGGGCTATCACAGTGGCAGTAGAGAAAAAAGTTGGATTTATTTAAGAAATATTTAAGAAATAGGGCTGACATGCATAGGCTGATGGGATTGGCAATGGGGTCTGAGGATAGTGAGAAATCAAACCAGCTTTCTGACTTGAGAAACAGGACAGAGAAGGATGCCATTTAATGAACTGGACAATACTGAGAGTAGATCTCATTGCGTGTGGAGCAAGACCAAGAGCTCCATTTGCTTGTGTCAGATTTGAAGACCCAGGTGACTGATATGGAAATGCAGGCAAAATGTGGGGGACAGTTGAGGGCTAAAAGCATGGTGTTAGCATCACAAAGGTACAAGTACCATGGGCCCAGAGAGACAACCCATGGAGTGCAAACATAGGACAGGAAGGAAGGAAGTGGAACATGGGACATGGAAACTACAAGATAGCTTCATGAAGAAGAAGTATGAAAGGCCGAAGGTATGTGATTATATGAGTCTGCAACTTAGGGAAATTATTTGGGCTAGAAATACAAGTGGAAGCATTTTGTCAGCCATAGAAGCCATAGAAGAGGAGATAGCTTGGAAAATGCAGACTGCTTTCGTATCAGCAGCACTACTTCTAAAAACAGATGTTGATAGCAAATAGATTCATTCCAGGTAGATCAATCTGGAAAGGAAGTGACTGCCAAAGAAGGGAAGGTGACATGTAGGGGAAATGTTTACGCCTAAAGGAATGTAGGTATATGAGGACTTCAGAACATTGTTCAAAAGGAGAGAGATTTTTTTATGACGAATCCTATGAAAGATGTTGTCTATTCCCACTCCTATGGTCTCACCTAGGCAAGTGTGGTTCAGTATGACAATGTAAGGGAAGGTGGAAAGAGCCATGAGCTACAAAATATCTCCAGCGTTAGTTAAGTCTCTTTCTTTGGGACACACTCTGGTTACTGTGTAAGCAATTTCTCTACTGGGAATGAAGAAATGGCTCCTTCACTCAGCTTCAGTGAAAGTGGGGTCAATACTTTCCCTCAGGTTGGCCTCGTTCCATTTCCTCCTGCCCATGGTAGAACCACCTAGACATCTATTGAAAAGATGTGTCACT